TATTTAAATATTTGAAGCTTAGTTTAACAATATTAATGAAAAAATATTTAATTACCTGTATTTTTCGACCCATAGTCATTTCTAAATAAAATTCTCTATACCATAATTGAGATAAATCACAACAATCTTGTAATGATTCTAAAATAAAATAATATATAATTAATTAATTATTTTAATATAATATAATATAATATAATATATGCATAATAAAAACTATATTTAATAAGTAATAGTAAATATATTATAAATATATACTAACCACTAAAATTTAAGAGATAACTCCAGTAGAAACTAGTTTTATGAAATTGATCAATTTGTACAAGATATTGACCATCAATATCTTTTCTCAAAGTACGTTTTCCACCACTTTTATCTGCAATTAATGATTCCAACATTGTACGAACCATATAAAGCTGTGTTGAAGAAGGTCCTAAAAATATATATTTTTATAAAAATATGAGTAAATATTTATTCTGATTAAAAAATTTAATTATATTTTCTTTTTAATCTTACCAACATTTCGTCGAGGTACTTTAATACCAAATCCATTATCAGGATCCTTCTTTCCTTTTAATGCAGGATCTCCTAATGGTTCGACTCCAAAATGCCAGTCTGCACAAGTTTCTCTCACAGATACGATTATACTAAAAAAAATATAAAAATAGATTTAAAATATTAGATAATAATATGAAATTATATTTAATTATATTCTATAAAAAAAAAATACATTGTCATAAAAAATAATGTACAAACCTCCTAATAAGATCCTTTTTATTTTTAATTGCTTTACGTAATGGTTCTCGTAATGTAAGTTGCACAAAATCTTGTAATTCTGCATATATATTTCTACGTATTGCATCTATAAAAACTGTTTCCATGCGTGCCATTAATACTTGCAATCCTTTGATCATTGCAATAACTTCTATTAAAGCAAATTTCTCTTCATCTGTATAATTATAACGTGTAGCCTAATGAAAAAAGGATATTAATATATATCATTATTAATACATATAATATAATATGTATATATAATATAATATAATACATAAAATATATATATAACTATATAAATATATAATAAACAATATCCCTCACTCTTTCATATTCTTCAGCTTCTTGAGGACATTCTTTATTCATGTGATGATCAGTAGGATGTAAAAGTTTCCAACTATAAAGTTCTGTTACAACACTCGTCCATTGGGAAAGTAATTGTAATCCACGTAATGCTAATTCTGCAGTTTCTCGATTTTCTGTATCACTACCACATTCCTTATATGTTGTAGTTACTTCATTACTATATCTGTAATAAAGAAATATTTCTTTAGTATTTCTTTTAATTAAAACTATATATTTATTCTTACCTTGCTAATTCACTAATATACTTAACATGATCTTCTCTAATTTGTGGCAAATGTACCATAAGATCTGCTTGTGGACTTATACTGTTTGATGAAGAAGATAATGGCCATTTAGATGCATCAAAGTGTTTAGAACGTTTAATGTAATTAAAAGGTGCAATTTGCATGTCACCAAATAATGGTACTACTTCTAAATTTTTAAAGATTCTATCAATTCTATCTAATTTCAATTTCTTTTTCTGATCTAATTTATTGATATTGCAAAGCTCACTATCCATTAAAAATAAACCAAATCCCATTACTTTTACTAACATATGTTTTTCATTTGGGGTCAAATACATTTTAGTCTCAAACATATGAACACATATGTTAACAACATCTGCAAGTAATTCTTCATATCCTGCAATTTTTTCTAAATTTTCTTTTACTGTATCACGAATTTTATTTTGTGTAGCTAAAAACATTGATAAATTTTGAGATTCTTGTAATGTTTGAGAATCAGACATCACTTTAAGAAATTGAGCGGCTCTAAAATAAAAATATAATTATTTTTAAAACTAATTTTTTTAATATCATACTTATAATTACCTTCTATATGTAGAATAATCATTTTTTACACTAGATTTCATATTTTTAAGTTCATCCAAAACTGCAAACATATTAATAAATTTTCCTAAAGTAAGTAAATATGCTTCAGATACAAAGTCTTTTCTTTTTTCATGATGACACAAACGTTTTACTTCTCCAGAAAATCTTTCAATAGCTTTTCTCTAAAAAATGACATTCATTTGTAATAAATAAAATAATTAAATTTGAACTAATATATATAAATTAGATATTTAAATATATACATACTTGAAAATACATAAAGTTTAATAATTTATTTACTTCTGGAGCTAATACTTCTACTGTCTTCTCATAAATTTCTACTCTGTTAGGTTGCTCATTAGATTTTGGTTGAGGTATTGCACGCGAACAACATCTCCATGTATATAGCATTACAGCATGCTTCAAACCTTCTTCTAATAATTCATTCTTTAAATTAAGAATAAATTATATAAATTATAAATATATTATAAATACACAAAATTATTATTTAATATTATATTATATTAAATATTATTACTAATTATAATATGTATAATGTATAAATATTATTTTATTTTTCATTTAAGTTCAATTTACTAAAAATAAAAATTTTATATTTTAATTTATTATTATATTTCCAATAATTACCAGACTTGCATGAACAGTAGCTTCTTCAATATATTTAGCAATTCCAGTAACAAAACCATTTCTATCTTCAAAATTAGTATCAAAATTGGCTTGATATACTACAGAACATGGTTGTGCTTCAATACAAGGTTGTTCATCAGGTAATGTAAATTCATCAAGTACATCAACATTGGATAAAGCATCACCCAAAGTTACTTTATCAGTAGCCATTACAATTTAAAAATAAACCTAAATTAAAACAATATTTATTTTAAAATTACTATTAATGAAAAATTAAATTATTAAAAAACAACATTATAATTAATTTTTATGAAATAAATTAAAAATTAATGTGGATAAATTAATAAAATATCAAAATTGAAAATTGAAAATTTTATATAAAAATAAAAAAATTTTACATAAAAATTTATCAAAAATAAATATCATCATATAATCATCATTTTTATAGTTCTTACTTCTTATTTTTATAGTTCTTTATAGATTCTTAAAATATATCTTTATATGTTCTTAAAAATAAATAATTAAATTAAAACTTCAAACTTTTTATAATAAAGTGAAATAATTTTTGAATATTTTACAATTTAATTAATATAATAACTTCATATTTTAATATAATAAGTTTTAACTATATCTTAAACACAATTATACTTTTAATACTCCGCCCTCTCACTAGAAAACAGGATTACTCTGTCAACAATACTTACCAAAGTAACTCGTATCTATGCTAAAAACACTAACTTTTTATATGTATACATATAATTTTTGAAAACAATGAAATTAAATTTAAAATTATTTTTAAATTCTATTCATTAAATATTATTAAATATTATTAAAAAACACAAAAATATCAAAAAGTTATTATATTTTAAAATGAAATTTAACATTTCATATTATTTAATTATTAATTTTCAAAAAAAAGTAAAATATTGAAAATGTATGTTTAGAAATTAATTTAATTTCAATATTTTAATAAGTAAAAATTAAATTTTTTTATTATCATTTTGGTTTATAATTATTTTTGTTCACTATAATTAATTAAAAAATACATACTTATATAAAAAATACATATTTCAAAAATTATGTTTTAAAATTATTTTTTAAAATAATTCATATTATAAAAATTTAATACCATTATAATAATTTTTATTGTATTAATTTCTTTTCTTAAGTAAGAAATTTTTTAAAATATATATATAAATATTTTATAAAATATTTTATAAAATACATTATTATGTTATTAAATTTCATTAAATATTTTATATAAGCATATATTTTATATAATATTATGTTTATTAATGTAATTCATAAAACGTCATCAAAAAGAAAAATATTTTTAAATAAATACAAAATATTTTTTTTATGAAAGTTGAGAATCATTATTCAGAAATAATACGTGTAATGTATAATATTATTATCTTTAATGCGCAGTTACAAACAAAATGTGTAACCACGTACGCTAACAAAACTAGAGTATTATTTAAACTTGTGATAAAGAAAACAATAAAAAAATTTTAATTTTTTAAAAAATTTTCCTGCTATTTTTCTAATTTGGTTAAATAATAATAAAGTAATAATAATCAAATTGCGAATAATTCCATAGTATAAAATAATATAATAATATAAATATGTAATATTAATAAAGTATCAATAAATGTTTAAAAAATTTAATAAAAATATATATATATTATTATATTACATATATTTATTATTATTATTATTATTATTATTATTATTATTATTATTTATTATTATTATTATTATTATT